CTTCCTGATTGCAGACTATATAGTAAAACTTGAGTTTTGCTTAGCTGTACCTTAACCAATCATTTTACTGAAATTTAACTAACCTAGCATATTGTAACATGATTATTTAACCAATTATATCCCACCACCTTAATTAGTTTACACCCAGCAAAATTAATTATACAGCAGACTGAAACAATCACAGAACCAGACAGAGATTATACAGACAAACAATGGGAAATGGGGACTACAATGATAGAACAACACAGAAATGAGGATTTCACATCCCAGCTATTGATAAGTGAGTTCTTGACAGACAGGATGCTATCAAACTAAGTTTCCTTTTACATTTTCTAGGCACTTCCTTTTCTCTGGCGGTGATAGGCATTATCAAGACAGGATTGTATTCCTAACAGCTCAATAGCACCTTATTTCAACATGACTAGTTTGGAATATAAGGATGTGACCGTTCACTTCCCAGCTTATGACTGCCTCTGCTGCTTAGCCAAGATCTTAGCCTAAGAACAGGGCCTCAGACTGTCACAGTAAGAGAAGGCCCTTACACCTTGTCAGACAGTGATTTTGATTCTTTCTTTTATACCTCTATAACTAGCTAAGTGATATGAATACACCTAAATTCTTAAGAGCATAGGCCTTCACAGACAGGCGTGAATATCTATATCCTAACAAGGACAAAGCCATTTCACAAGTCAGTGTAGCTGTTCGTTGTGGTGGCAGACAGGATGAAAGGTCATCCAGTATCTGCTCAAAGGACTTCATTCTGGATCATGGCCTGCATCCGCTACAGCTATGAACTGGCGAAAGTGCCTCCACCGGCAATAGTCAAGGCACACTCAACTAGAGCTCAAGCATCATCTGGCTCAGGTGCCGATCCAAGAGCTCTGTAGAGCTGCTACCTGGTCAACTGTCCACACATTTACGTCCCATTATGCACTTACCCAGCAGGACCAGGGTGATGCTGGCTTCGGCAGAGCAGTGCTGCGCGCTGTAAGACCATGAAATCCAAGCCCACCTCCATTGACCCTGCTTGTGAGTCACCTAGAATGGAATTGACATGAGTAAGCACTTGAACAAGAAAAAACAGTTACCTACCTTGTAACTCTTGTTCTTCGAGATGCGTTGCTTATGTCCATTCCATTACCCACCCAGCTGCCCCTCTGTTGGAGTTGCCGTCAAGAAGGAACTGAAAGGGCGTAGGGCTGGCAGCACCGGATATACCGACGCATGGGCACGGCGCTCAAGGGGTGCCACTCACACCCTTACAGATACTGCTCAGGCAAAAATCTCCGGCTACCTCGCACTTCCCCTCATTCCTGATAAGGCATCAACCACTACATTTTCCTTCTCTTTCATATGAATTATTTCTATGTCAAATTCCTGTTGGGCTAAACTCCAACTATTCTAGAATCGTCCCCTTAGCTCGGTGCAGCAACATCAAAGGGGTGTGATCATTCAAAACCTTAATTTTTTTATTAGACAAATAAGGTTTAGGTTGCTTAACTGCCCAGACAGTGGCATAGCATTCTTTCTCAGGGAGAGCATAGTTTTGTTCAGTTGGGGTCAGTTTTTTGCTTAAGTAGGTAATGGGATGCCTCTTGTTCCCCACCCCATCCTGCATCAGTACTGCACTTAACCCAGTTTTAGAAGTGTCAGTACACAGCACAAATTGTTTTCTGAAATCAGAGTTGACCAAAACAGCCTCTTTAGACAAAGCTTCTTTTCTGGAAGCCTATCTCACAGCCTCTGTCCTTACCACCTGGTCTGATTTCCTTCTTTTTGTAAGGTCTCTTATGAGGGCCACAATGTAATTTTACAAACCTCCAGTAATAGTTCACCAGGCCAATAAAGAATTGGGCCTGCTTCTTGTTCAATAAGCAGGCCAACTCTGAATAACTTCTACCTTTAAAACCAACCCACTTACCACTCTGTGTCCTAGGTAGGATACTTCAGCAGCCCCCATCTTGCATTTGGAGACCTTGACTTTGAGGTTGGCTTCTCTCAGCCTTTGTAACACAATTCTTACATGGTTTAAATGGTCTTGCAGGAGCTACTGAAAATACCCAAGTCATCAATATAGGGCTTGGCAAAGATTTGTAACCCCTGCAGCACTTCATTGACAAGCCTCTGAAATGTGGTTCCTGCATTTAGTAATCCAAAAGGCATAGCCTTAAACTCATATAGGCCAAACTCCATTATAAAAGTGGGTTTTTCTTGGGCATCAGCATCTAAAGGAATTTGCCAGTATCCACAAGTTAAATTCAGTGTGCTTATGAATTTTGCACCAGCCAGTAGATTCAGTAAGTCCTCTATTCAGGGTGTGGGCTATGGGTCAGGTTGGGTGATAGCATTTAGCTTTCTAAAATCCACACAAAAGCTCATGGTTGTATACTTTTCATGTACTATTACAATAAGAGATGCCCATGGGCTTTTTGATTTAGAGTATGTCTAAGCTACGAAATTAGGTCGATTTTATAGAAGTCGATTTTTAGAAACCGATTTTATATGTCGATTGCATATGTCCACACTTAGCGCATTAAGTCGGCGGAGTACGTCCTCACTACTGTGGCTGGCATCAACTTACAGAGTGGTGCACTGTGGGTAGCTATCCCACAGTTCCCACAGTCTCTGCTGCCCATTGGAATTCTGGGTTAAACTCCCAATGCCTGATGGGGCAAAAACATTGTCGCAGGTGGTTTTGGGTACATGTTGTCAGGCCCCCCGCCCTCACTCCCTCCATGAAAGCAACGCAGACAATCATTTCGCGCCTTTTTTTGTGGGTTACCCATGCAGACGCAATAACATGGCAAGCATGGAGCCCGCTCAGCCCACCGTCACCATACATCTCCTGGGTGCTGCTGGCAGACGCGGTACTGCATTGCTACACAGCAGCAGCACCTTGCCTTCGCGGCAGATGGTGCAGTAGGACTGATAGCCGTTGTATGTCTCCTGGGTGGTCCTGGCAGACCTTGGTGAGGTTGATCAGTGGCGCCTGGACAGACATGGCTATTCTCCTCTTAGAGCACCGAATGGGAGCCAGAGACTCCCGGTCATTCTCTTCTTTAAGTTTCATCTCATGGAGATTCAGTCCTGGAATATCATGCGAGCTGGAGGCTTCTGCCTCAGGCTGCTCTCCCAGCCAGCAGCACCTCACGGTCACACCTACCCCAGCCTACCCCTTGCTCCCATGGCTCATGAAGCCTGGACAGTAGTAAGGAGCCGTTCAACTATAGGCGGAGCAAGTGCAGAATGGTGGTAGAATGTGCCTTTCGACATTTAAAAGCTCGTTGGCGCTGTTTGCTGACTAGGTCAGACCTCAGCGCAACCAACATTCCCATTGTTATTGCTGCTTGCTGTGTGCGCCATAATATCTGTGAGAGTAAGGGGGAGACGGTTATGGCGGGGTGGGAGGTTGAGGCAAATCGCTGGCGTCCAATTTTGATCAGCCAGACACCACGGCAATTAGAAGAGCACAGCAAGGCGCGCTGCGCATCAGAGAGGCTTTGAAAACCAGTTTCATGACTGGCCAGGCTTCAGTGTGACAGTTGTGCGTGTTCCTCCTTAATGCAAACCCGCCCCCTTTGTTGATTTTAATTTGCTGTAAGCCAATTACCCTCCCCCCTTCGAAATAAAGTCACTATTGGTTTGAAACCATGCATTCGTTCTTTATTAATAAAAAAAAAATCAGATAACGGACAAGGTAGCCCGGGTGGGGTGGAGGAGGAGGGAAGGACAAGGCCACATTACTTATTGTAGCCATACTAAAAATCAAACTGTTTGAATGACAGCCTTCTGTTGCTTGGGCCATCCTCTGGAGTGGAGTGGCTGGGTGCCCGGAGCCCTCTCCCCCCCCCCCGCATTCTTGGGCATCTGGGTGAGGAGGCTACGGAACGTGGGGAGGAGGGTAGGCAGCGGATGCAGCGGGGGGCTGTGCTCTTGTTGGCTTTCCTGCAGCTCCAACAGACGCTTCATCATGTCTGTTTGCTTTCCCATTAGCCTCAGTATCTCGTCCTGCCTCCACTCTTCACACTCACTTAATTCTTTCCTGGCCTCTGCCACTGAATGCCTCCATGCATTAAGCTGTGCCCTATCAGTGAGGGAGGACTGCAAGAGTTCGGAAAACATGTCATCACGAATGTGTTTTTTTCGCCTTCTAATCTGTGGTAACCTCAGTGACGGAGATGATAGGGGGAACTTAGAAACATTCTACGCTCTACAATTCTGGGGGGATTGCATGGTCACCTGTGCTGCTGAGTTTGCCACACTGACCAAATAGGAAATTAAATTTAAAAGTTCCTGGGGCTTTTCCTCTGTACCTGGCTAGTGCATTGGAGTTCAAAGTCCTGTCCAGAGCGGTCACAATGGAGCACTCTGGGATAGCTCCTGGAGGCCAATACCATTGATTTGCGTCCGCACTACCCCAAATTCAACCCAGCAAGGTCGATTTTAGCGCTGCTCCCCTCTTCGGGGAGGAGTACAGAAGTCGATTTTAAGAGCCCTTTAGGTTGATGGAATGGGATTGGTTGTGTGGATGCAGTCATTTTTAAATCGACCTAATGCAGCTAAATTCGACCTAACCCTGTAGTGTATACCAGGCCTCAGTAACTATTCCTATTTCCAGTTTGCTTTTGTAAGTGTTCAGTGAGACCTGGAGATTTGGCATGAGCTGATACTTAGTCTACCAGCATCACACCATTCTGATCAAAACACCATGGATATATTACTCAATTCAGTTATTTCAGTGGTGTCAGCATGGGTTATCTTAGGTTGTCGTGTATGTCACGCACTTTCATATACTTCATAAACTGGGCGGTATTTTTATAATTTGATTGGAAATACAAGCTATTATAATGAAACTGGCTTCAAATTATTTCATATCTGACTTGAGGAGTAATAGTTTATTGCGTGAACCAGCACAATATCTTAGAAAAACTTAATTCTGAAAATACAACAGGTTCATGTTCATTAGCATCTTTTCACTTGTGTGCTGTTATATTTTACAGCAACTGAAGTTTATGCACACTCCCCATCAGTTCCTCCTTCTCAGCAGTCCACCAGCCAAAGAATCCAATTTCAGAGCTGCTAAAAATCTCTATGGAAGTACCTTTGCATTTCAGTAAGTATGAAAAAGGAATTAGTAAAAATAATGCTAACAGTTCTTATTGTGCTTTCATCATCTGAAAATATGTGTAAAGAAAAACACAGATATTCTAAGAGTTAGAGGTTTTCAATTGCAAATACATTGTTTTAGAGAAAATGGTAAATTTCATTCTGGGTGTCTTGAAACACTACTTATTTTCCTTCTTTCCACTTTATTTTTAAGTGGTTCACACATTGAAAACTGGCACTCCATCCTGAGGAATGGCTTAGTTGTTGCTTCCAATACAAGGCTGCAGGTAAATAATAGATACAAGGGTTCTTATCTGACCCATAGGTACAAGGTTACATATTAAACATAGGGCACCTTTGGGGAGAGGCAGTTGAGGTGGCCATCTTGGCAATCAAAAACTAAATGGTGCAATTATATCCTCCCTTCTTTCACAGTAATCAGTTGTTCCACTGGTCCTTCTGAAGCATTGATGGTGAAATCCTGGCCCCAGTGAAGTCAATAGCTAAACTCCCATTGACTTCAGCAAGGTTAGGGATTCACACTGAGGCTGTGCACAGCAGCACCTTCAGTGGAAGAGGAAGTACCAGATGGAGGGCTTCCTCTTCCATCTGGGAGGTGTTGTTCAGTACTGCTAAAGAGAGCATCATAAGGACCGAGTCATGGAGGAGAATGAGAGTGAGGTAACTGAATGGAGCAAGCTAAGAGGAGAGAGAAAATTAACATAGAGCAGTTCAGAAGAGGGGAAATAAAACAAAAGGATTCAGTGAATACAGATAAAGAGTGCAAAGGTAACAGAGTGGACAGAAGAGAGAGACAGTACAATACGGAGGGAGGGAAAAGAGACATCAGTGGAAAAGAGGGAAGAGAGAAAGTTGGGAAGAATGACAGCACTCCCTACTTAAGCTCTTGGCTGCACCTTAATAAGGACCTGAGCAGTTCCTCTGAAGTCACTAAAGTTATTCACATTTGCAGACTCTGTCTCTATATTTCTACCAGGTGCTCTTGGAAACCCTGTTTAAAAACATGAATTAGGCAAAAGCATCACTGACTTCTGGAATAAATCTAACAGCGATCATTTATTTATTTACCTAATTTAAAAATTATACAAACTGTGGGCCTGATACTGCAAACATGTATTATGAATAAAGCCATGCAGACGCATAATTGTTTTCAGGATCAAGGGTTACATTTCATATTTAACCTAACTTTTTTTGATTGTTTATCATTGTGTTTGCTGATAACATGCAAGACATTGATTTGTTCATGGTTTGCAGTGTTAAATCTCAACACAAATACATCTATAACTTCAGAATATGGAGAAGAATTTCCTTTACCACCAGTAGATCTAAAAACAGAAAACACTATTTTACAGCTATAAACTGGGGCAAACTCCTTTATCTGCAGGCAATTGGAATGGTCTGCCATAAAAATGGTCTTCAGGGTATGCAGGAGTATTTTAGCTTGATACAGAAGAGTTTGTATAATATTTGCCACAAGTTTTCTTAGGACTTATTTTGTACATAATTTAATATCAGATACTGTATTGGTGGGAGGGCAAATAATTATCCAGATCAGTTTAGATCATGTGCCATGTTGATTTCCTTTGTAAAACTATCAAATTAATGTTAAGCCTTTTTTACATTCTTTTTCAGCTCCATGGTGCAATGTTTGGAATTGGGATCTACCTTAGTCCACTGTCAAGCATATCATTTGGTTACTCAGGTGATATTTATAAATCACTCTAAAGAGGGGTGAATGTAAAGAGATATTTTAATTTGCTGATTTTTTTTACCTGCTTCATTGTTTTAATCATTGTAGTAATTTTGTCTCTTTCTATCTTAGGCCAGCATTTACAAAAACAGGAGCTCCTGTATGCAAAAAATAGGCTCCTAAATTCCCATTTATGGTCTTAAATACATGCCCTGATTTTCAAGGGTGCTGAGCAGCCAGGACCTCCCATTGAAGAATTTGGCAACTGGTATCCATTACTTTGGAAAGGAGCCTAAATGTGGACTTGGGAGCCTGCTTTTACACTTCTGTTTTTAAAGATCTTGGCCACAGCATGCAAATATATTTATATGCAATATACGTATGCATAGGCATATAGGACCCAATCCAGAAAAAGCACTTAAGTGTGTGCTTAACTTCAATCTGAAGAGTACTCCCGTTTAAGTCAATAGGACTACTCATATGCTTAAAGTTAGGTACATGCTAAGGTGCACTGCTGGATTGGACTATGTAGGAATAAAGGACAGGATATAGTAGCATAAAGTACCATCTTTTTGTTCTGTGTTTTTACAGCGCCTTGCACAATCGGTTCCTGGTCCATGACTAAGATCCTTGATGCTATTGTAATATAAATAATAATAAAGGTGTTAAATGTCCTGGAGTTAGGAGAGTGGCATGATTTCCATGTGGTAAATGTTATGTAGATCACTCACTTCAAAATAAAATAGCATCTAATATAATAAAAAATAAATAAAATATTGAAGATGAAATATTAAATTAAAATCTTCTGTGGGCTCATTCTAATTATTTTTCCAATAAGCACACCACAAGCAGCAAAGCTTGATTAACTTTAAACTGAAGTCCATCCCTTTTCAGCAAAATGCTTAAGCACATTCTTAAACTGAATTCAGTGGAATTTAAGCTCATGTGTAACTGCTGTTGCACCTGCTTAAAAGTACTTTGGCTATTTTAAAGGCATTGGAACTGTCGTGCAAATGTGTGGCTCTTGGGACTGAGTCAGACTGGTGGTAGCATGTGATGCGACAGAGAACAAGAATTTTAGGATGCTTTGCAGAGGAATCTGACCCCACTCCAATATCTGCTTTCACTCTCCATGTATATCTTATACTTACAATGCTTTACACACCAGTAAACCTGAAGTAATTTTAATGTCTTTAGGGATGAATAAGAAGCAGCAGAAGGTGTCAGCTAAGGATGAACCTGCTTCAAACAGTAAAGGCAGTAATGCATTACAGGTACAGTAGTATATCAAACGGTATATCTGGAAGGCATATTGGGTTTGTAACTGTGAAGGAATTAATATTCCTTCTTTGGAAAGTCAACAGTTCTCTTTTATTGTACACAAACAGCGGTATCCAAAGACATTGTAATGATCAAATATAATCCAATTGCTGGTAGTAGCAATTTACAGATTATACTGCAGCAAATGTGGATTTCCTTTCATAAGAAGAACTATTTGAAAAAAAAATAGGGAAGAAATGCTGATTGATTCTTTAATTCAGTATCACTCCTGGCAAACCTCTGCCTGTGAACTCTGGAGTCTTTACTAAATTAGTGTGCAGTATGGATTTAGAATGGGTAATGCTACAAAATTAGTTTGTAACGCTCTGGAGTTCCATTCATAGCACACTACAGATTTTCTTTGTGATAGTTTCTAAACTCTAAGCTGGTAAGTTTCTGTTTGTCAAAGGTAAACTAATAGCTGTTATTTATAGATGGGCATTGGGCTTACAGATGGCTAAATCCTTAGGAGGAAATTCTACACCCATCTCTCTTAACAAGTATATGCATACCGGCATGGTTCCTCGCTACAGGAGGGAAATGCTGTGGGGAAGCCGTTCAGAGGAATTCTGTATCCTCTGTAGGTCATGTCACCATATTCCATAGCAGCTCAGAGACCAAAGGCATAAAGTAACAGGGTTTGGCCAAAGAGACCTTGACTACATTTATCCACTAGCCCAGCAGTTTTCAAACTGTGGGTCGGGACCCCAAAGTGGGTCAGGACCCCCTTTGAATGGGGTCACCTGAGCTGGCTTAGACTTGCTTGGGCCCAGGGCTGAAGCCAAAGCCAGAGGGCTTCAGCTGTGGGCGGCGGGGCTCAGGTTGCAGGCCCTCTGCCTGAGGCTGAAGCCCTTGAGCTTCACCTTTGGCCCGCCTGCCCAGAGCAGTGAGGCTTGGGCTTTGCCCCCACACCACCACCATCTGGGGCAGTGGGGCTCGGCGGGCTCAGGGTTCTGTCCCCCCCGGGGCCGTGAAGTAATTTTTTGTGTCAGAAGGGGGTCGCGATGCAATGAAGTTTGAGAACCCCTGCACTAGCCAAACTCCCATGTAAAGCAATACATGCTACTATAGCTAATGTTCTACAGAGCCATTGTACTGTACCCAGCTGTTACGTGATGAAAGAGGATTCCATCCCATTGATACCAATGAGGAGAGAAGTGATATGGCAGATATAGATAGTCATACAGCTCATGAACTGGAGTGATGGCTACACTGGTTCTCTGTGGCCTGCACCCAGCCAGATTGGAGGATTCTGGTCTCCTCATGTAGGTTTCTTCTGAAAACCCCAGGGCAACAGGATTTGACTATCATTTTACTCCTTTTATTAGCTTGTTTCTCATTGATAATGTGATTCTCCCACCTATATTATCCAGCCCTCAAATTGCTAATGAAATGGACACCTTGCTATTGGATAAAGTAGTTGCTAACCCAGGGTTGTGAGTTCAATCCTTGAGGGGGCCATTTAGGGATCTGGGGAGTTGGGGATTGGTCCTGCTTTGAGCAGGGGGTTGGACTAGATGACCTCCTGAGCTCCCTTCCGACCCTGATATTCTATGATTCTATGAAATTGCCACTATTGCATTTTTAACCCAATAATGCAAATGTGTCCAGCGAGACTATATCAGTAAATAAACTATTTAAAACAATACTCTTGTTACATTTTTACCTGTGTTTCCTTTTACTATTTTAATTAATTTTCCCACATTTTTATCTCTCAGTCACAGAAAAAAGGACAGCAATCCCAATTTTTGCAAAGCCGTAATTTAAAATGCATAGCCTTATGTGAAGGTAAGCTGAAAATCCCTTCAAAACCAATTTCTTTCTCAGCACTGTACCTGTTTGAATTTGTAAAATGCAAATTAATACAAACTTTAATTGAAGTTAGGTTTTTTTAATAAGACAACATTGGCAGGTGTGCAGATGCCTACATCATTTATGGGTCTTAAGTCTCAATGCAGCCCCATCCCCCCATTGCCCCCACAATACCCATTCCCCAAGCATACCTAGGGCCATTAATAAGGTGGGCTCATCATGTGTAGGAAGTGACTGGTCACCATCCTTTCAGTCTCCCAAATTTTAACCACATAGCTAGGGTTGGTAAAGAACCTCAGCAAGTCGTATGTTAATGGTTTGAGCATCCAAGACTCATAAAGAACATCTCCCTAATCTGAATTCTCAGCCCAGTTCTGACAGCTCAGGCAAATAATCTCTTCTTCTTGTAACCACTACACATGAATTGATTTCTATTCTCTGCTTGTGCTTAAAAATCCATATAGTTATGTCCAATCTGTATGACTATAGTCACTCTCAAAAGACCTGACCATTTTTAACAGGTCTAGCAAATATGTATCTGTTTTGACAGCAGGTAAAGGAAGGTAAGGATTTCATCTCAGCTATAAAAATATTTTAGCACTGTTTGAAAGGAGAATAATTTTCAAGATGATACAATTTAAGACAATTTTTTAAAGGGACCTTATCTCAGCCTCTAAAATTGCATGTGCAAATTCTACACATATATGAAGCCTTTAAATGACATTTTTTTAAATGTAATCCATTACTGTACCAATTATGTTCTAATGTCATTCTAGAATTCCTGGGAACAGACCTATTCTGAAACTAGAATTTGTCTTTACATTTCTAATAATTTAAAAACAAAAATCTAAATATCCCAAACATACTTTTCCAAGTGTAAATGGTATTCAAAGGTTAGAAAAGAATGTGCAAAACTATTTCACTTATCATAGGTCTTGTTTCTCTGGCATATTTTAATGTACAATTTGCCAAAATATACTTTTGATCAGCAAAAATCCATCTCAAGGAAGGGAAGAGTAGAGAGAGGGGGTTCGTAAGATATAATAACTCATGAAAAAATCAGTCATAAAAGAAAAAACATCCAGTGTTTATGAGTTGCAAGAGGCAAACATTTATGTTGACTTAAAATGAAAAAAAGAGAAGGAGGTAAGAGTTAAACCTCACACAGCAGATTGTAAAGCTATGTACGCGTGCATTTATTTACAATAGTGTTCAAGTGCGTTCATGGAAGATCTTCAGAACAACATGGTTTGTATTCAAAAATGGACTCTACCCAGAAAACCTTATTTCTGATCATTATCTTCATGGTTTAAAAAAAAAATCTGTGATCTAATACATAGTTGTTTCCTAGAGAAGTGGTACCTAATTCTCCAGATTCATAATTCCCTCTATATGTGTGTCAGTGACTGGAACATGGGTGGTGGTGTCTAGTGGTTAGAGCAGAAGCCAGAGGCCAGAGCCAAGGTCAGAGACGGAGCCAGGCGTCGGAGCTGATGGTCAGGACCAGGTTACCTGGAGCGAAGCCAGGCAGGAGTAGGGCTAGGTCCAAGGCAGGAGCTATCACAGTCATGGGAAAATGCTTAGAGCAGCCACTGAACTGCTGTTGCCGGGCTTAAGAACTGACCTGTTACCATTCCAGTCGATCAGGTGGTGTAGCCAAGCCAGTCAGGCAGCCTACTTCAGACCAGCTGTGCTCAGTAAGTTGCCCTGAGATTGGCTCTGCTGCAGGCCCTGATTCCTGACATGGGAAATAATCAATGACCCATTTCCCAGCTTTTTCTTTCATATTTTACTTTTCACCCATTCGTCATCACACATAAATTTTCTGTGTGCCAAAGTTCGATTAATTGGCCCACAGTACCCTATACCACTGGTGTGTCCATTGTTAGCGAGAATGAAGCTGATCTCCTAACTCCTAGGTTCAGCCAACTCCAAGGTTCTAGACAAGGCGACAGACATTCCCACAATTTATTTAAAATGTGTGGAAGCATAGATATTTTAAAATGATGTTTTCCAGAGATGTTTTCACTGCTCAGTGTTTGTTCTCTCCTTGTAGTGATAACCTCACCTGATCTGCACAAACATGGGGAGATATGGGTAGTTCCCAACACTGATCATGTGTGTACAAGATTCTTCTTTGTGTAAGTACAATACGTCTTTTTAGCTTTAAAATTCTACTTGTATATTTCCTAAATTGTTTTGCCATGTTTTCTTCAGGTTTTTTTTGCAACAACTTTAAGAGACCAAAAATAAAGTCTTCTGAACAATTTTTCAAGAATTGATTTTTTTAAGGAAATGTCTGCAAGATCAATGACAATAGATTATTTTACTTTTACCTTTTGTTATAATAAGCAAAAAAGAGAACAGTGGGTGAAGGGCTATAGGATGTTCCCAATCTATATGAATATGTCACACTATAGTAAGTGTATCGCTGTATTGACCTGAGACCAAAAAACAACCCTCCTAGAGTGTACTTCTGAAAAGCCAAGGAAGTCAAAAATAGGGATAAAAAGATATATCTTTAAGTTGTACTCTAGCTGTAAAACAGATGTTTCCTTTTATCACATTTGATTCATTAAGAGACTACTATATATCGACATAAGCCCTCATCCTGCAAAGAAGGCCACCCAGCTGGACCCCTGGACCCACCCAGAGCCTCCTCTATTTCAAATTTGCAGTAAATATGGAGTTGTCTTCACTGGGGATTTGCCCTGATTGGTGGCCACTCACTGGTATTTGTGTACCAATGTATACACTTGAGTATAGACAGGGTAAAACTGTGTTTTACATCAGTGCCTGTTATCCCTGTTCTAAGGAGGAGTAAGCTGCACTGGTTTACCATGTCCGCAGTTGAAACTTGCACAGGTACAGATCCCTAAGGGTATGTCTACACAGTAGGTAAACACTTGCAGCTGGCCCAGGTCAGCTGACTTGGGCTTGCAGGGCTTAGCCTGCGGGGCTATATAATTGCCATGTAGACATTTGGGCTTGACCTGGAGCCCAAACTCTGGGACCCCACGAGCTGGGGAAGGTCCCAGGGCCCAGCTTCAGCCTGAGCCCAAACATCTACACATCAATTGTTAGCCCCCCAGCCTGAGCCCCATGAGCCTGCATCAGCTGACCCGGGGCCAGCCACAGCCAGGGTCTTTTATTTCACTGTAGATGTACCCTGTGACTGACCAAAAGTGACTGATATCAGAACAAATCCCCAGTTTAGACAAAGAATCAGTTACTGCAGATGGAGAGTGCAGTAACTTACACATGGTTTCATAACACTCCGCTCCAGGAGGTTCCCAAGAGCCAGTGATGGTAATGAAAGGAAGCCCTTTGCATCTGAGCTCCCGCAGCTGATGAGCTTCCAACAGCTTACAGTGAGCCAGAGGTAGGCAGTAGTGCAGCCCTAGCAGGTCCTGCTGGACTTCAGTTTTGCTGGTTGAAACCCTAGGCCTCTTCTGTGAAAGGGCAAATCCTGCCATCAAACAGCTTCACACTTCTGGAGTTTACACTCGCCACGTAATATTCATGGCTTAGTGTTGAAATAAGGAGCATTGTAAAGTATATAGCACTGATGTCATTGCATAGTGAATAAAGAGTGGATTACAATTTTATTTTTTGTCTGTACTTTTTTAGTTATGAAGATGGCCAAGTGGGTGATACAAGTATAAATACACAAGAAACAGGCATTCACAAAGAGATTCTTCGAGTCATTGGTAATCAAACTGCTACTGGGTAAAAGGACCACTCTTATTTAATTGATGTGATTTGGAAGCCTTCCTCAGTCTCAAAGCTGGATTTTGAACTGAAGAAGATGTGAAAAACTAATTTATTATTATTATTAATACTACTGCTACTACTAAACAAATTAACCCTTTGAATACTTCCTTTTTTCTTACTTAGTATTTCTTATCTCATTGAAATACCTGAAATGGTATGAATTAGCAATTATAGGGGTACAAAGTCCATTAATATACTACAACTAATAGCAATTTAAGAGACATTTGGGTTGCTCACAATAAACAATTTAAAAAGGAGTTTTGTGCTGATATTTTTATATTAAACTCTTTAATTGGACCATTTTAGTACTGTATACTGGTATTTTAAATTTAGAATGACTGAAATATAAGTGAGAGAAGATTTTGTAGCGGAGAACCTGCATTATACAGGACACTTTGCAATAAGAATATTCACATATTTTAATACACCGTAAAAATGGTTTCTGGAACATGTCAAATTGAAGAGGTTGGTTACTTACAATATCATAGATTCATTTTACTGTACGCAAATGCAGCTAGAATTTAGAGTAAAAAAAGTTAAAAGAAGAAAACATTTTTGCAGTATTCAGTTATTGCCAAGAGAAATATAACTACATTGATGGTGTGTGTCTAGTCTTCTTCATTCTCTTAAAAGAAACTATACCATTCAGTAAACAGTTAAGTTACATTATTTAAAAGATGCAAGCTGAGCTAACCAGAGTTCCAGGGGCTGAGAAGTGAATTTGTAGCGAAGCCATTTGTAAACCAGTTTTTACAATGACCTATCACCTCAGTTTAGCAAGGTACTTAGGTGTTTTCAGTGGCATTGCTGTTGTGATTAACATTAAGACATGTGCTTAAGTACCTGGCTAAATCAAGACCTATATATATTTCAGTTGATTGTCCAATTAGGAAGAAATAGCAATACCTTTCATGTTACAAACATGTCAGAATGACTCTTGAGTTCCCTTTGGTGAAATACTATTAATTCATCTCTAAGGAAACAAAGCAAATCTGTTAAATCTTTATGATTTAGTAATTACAAGTGTTAAAAATAAAATGGTTACCAGAGTATGAGCATGTTGGCAGCACACGTTAGGGGCCAGGGACCAATCCTAAAAGGTGCTAAACACCTCCTATGAAGTGCTAATTGCCCTCAGCTCTCACTGACGTCATCTTGCAGGATCATGCCCTTCCCTTTTGACAACATTTCAGATCCCCCTCTGTACACCTCCACTTACTCCCTTGCAGCCTTGGAAAGGGAGAAGATAGGCACAAAAATTACCATAGAAGATCACACCTTGAGTCCTCCAGAAGTGGCCTGTACTGTTATTAACATGATGGTTATTAGGAAGACCCCAGTGTGTGCTTGTTTCTTTAAACAGAGCATAAGACATATAAATAATTGTATAATGTACAGAGATATTAGGGGTTAGAGATTTATTGTTGGAAGTCTTTTGTTATTCCAAGTTACTCTGCTTCTTGCCTCATCACTCCTGTTTCCCTGTATCACAAAATAATCCTCACTCAAAAGGATAAAATTGAAGTTATCTAGAATAAAAGTAAAGTTCTCTAACGGGCCTCCTTGGAACCAGGCCATCTCTGGAGACACCACTAATAACCTGTGGCACTGCAGCGCAGTTTAACATCTTGCACCAAGGATGATTTCTGGAGTTGATCCATCTACATGGAGCAGTTAGGTAGCGTGAAGGGTCTGACTGCACAAATGCAAGGAAAGTAGAATTGAGGCTGGAAATCTGGACTGACCATTCTTCCTTAGTTCATCCTGCTATATATACATGTATGGCTGAACTGGGAGGAGGCTGAGCTCAACAGTATGGTGAAACATAGAACATGTGATGAAATGCTGTACCTAGAAAAACTGAGGGGAACTATGCAGCAGGGAACAAGTCCACAGAGGAGTCCTGCAGTGGCTAAGTGGAATGATGGCCCACCATTTCAGGGGGCCTCCTCAAATATGGGATGTGCAACAAATAGGTGGGGCCAAGAGGGGGTCAGAGCTACTCTAAGTGACATACTTCTCCCTCCCCCCAGTTACAGCAGATTCACAGCCTAAATCCTGCTCTGGGGAAACAGAGAGTAACTAGAGCAGTGAGTGAAATTCAGCGTGCATACTGGACCTCTTGTGCCAGCCACATAAGGAGTACCCATAGATGCTACAACTATTGGGGGGAAGAGGGAACATTTCTCCATCTTTCAGGCAGGATGTAACAAAAGTGTCTTTTCCTCGTCCTTTTCCCAAAATCTCCCAAACTCCTAACTACAGGTTTAAGCCTGTGACCAAGTAAAAGCAAAGGAGGTAAAGGGACAGTAGTTCTAGTCACAGCACTGTTTCCACAACTCTCAACGTATGTACATCGCAGTGTCCTCTGTCCCAGTGTGTCTCCTCTCTTTGGGTCTCATATCCCCAGTAGGGAGTCCTTACTGACTCTGAGAGAGCTGGACTCTTTCCATTGCCTCCCCTGCTGGCTAAGTCTGGCACTCTCTTCTCTTCACCTCAGGGGCTGCTTAACAACTGATGAGCCAATGGTAAGACTTGTCTTACCAACTGAAAGCAGAGGTGCTGCCAGACTTAGCCAGCGGGGAAGACAAAGGAAAAAGTCCAGCTTCTCAGTTGCAGGGTACATTCACTGAAAGTGAAGGGAAATGTCTCCTTTCCTCAAGCCTGGAGCATGTGGCAGGATGTAAACTTCACCTACTTACACCTCTCTCAATAGGCACCCTCTGTTGGTGAGACCAGACCCTAAGAGAGTGGGGACACAACCGAACAGAGGACACTGGGAAGTACATATGATCTGTGGGGAAACAGTGCTGGGGGCACAAGGGGACAGAGAACACTGGGGGTACACTTACCAGGGGATACAAAACATTGTTGGGTGTGTGGTCAAACACTTGGGGATGGCATAGAACATGGAAGGGTAACCAGGATGTTGTGTGGGAACACAAAGCATGATGTGGACACCAGGGGATCCAAAATACTGTGAGAGGAGTACTTGAGGGACACAACGTGGAGCATGGGAAGTTGCACAAAGCACAGGTCAACACCAAGAGGGACAGAGAGAGTGTGGGAGATATACACAAATACAGTGTGGGAGAACATAGAGCATTAGTGGGATACGGAGTTGCACAGAGCATAGGAACAGACACTGTGGCGGGGGAGACAACACTGGTGGGGAACAGAGTAGTACAGACCATAGAGTGAACAGTGTGTGGAGAACACAGAGTACTGGTAGGGTGCAGAGTAGCACCGAGCTTAGGAACAGAGAGATGGGGACAGCCTGGGGGAGAACATACAGTTGGGTGAGCAGTATGCAGAGTACTATATGTGTAAACAGGCACGGTCCTACATGCAAACAAAGACACTCGTATGATATAATGTACAGTGTGGTGCTGCAGGGCAGCTTTCAGGAGGAAGGGAATCAAATTCCTCCCTGGAGTCAGCTCTTTCCGGTCCCCAAGTTTTGGGTCCCAGCAACTTCACTGATTCTGTCCTCCTCTCCACACCACCGGCCGAATCATTCTTTTTCTAGTGTCACCTAAAGGAGTCTCTCTGAGCCGCATGGTGCACTCCTCATTGGGATGGGGACTGGGATTCCTATGGAATCTCCTCTCAGCCCTCCATTCACCTTCCCACTGGTGCCCTCTGCCCCTTGCAGACACCTGCGAGACTTGAGAGACTGTGTTAGTGCTGAGTGACTCCAAAGGAACCGTGGAGTTTTTCCATTTGCTCATTCCCATGTGTGGGCTGTGGCACAGGAGAGGAGCATGTGGACCTTAAAGACAGTGTGTGGTCTTGAATTGTCAATCTTAACCCCTTTGATTTTGTTTTTGCAGGTCTTCCCTTCCCCCCACTGCTTCATTACTGTTACTGTGGTTGAACTTCTACTTGTTTAGGTGGATAGTAATTTTTTTAAAGCCTCGTGCATACAAACTAAGTGTTAACAGTAACTTTGAAAGGAGTAAGGGCCTGATCCTGCAACGTCCTGAAAAGGTGCTGTGACTTCCTATTGATTTCAGTGGGACTTGAGAACACTGACCATATGGCAGAATCAAGCCCTGACAGTGTGCCGTTTCTCTTACCAGCATTATTTTTTTTTATCTCTGCAATGCGCCTAATTCGATAAGAAGTGCTGTTAATTATCCCCGAGGAAGCAAATAAGTTCTGAAGTCTTCATGTTCGTGATCAGGAACCTGAGCCTGCAATGCAGTGATCACCTCATGAGAGCCCACAACTCCCACTGAAATCAGTCGGCCTTGTAGGGTCCAGGTCCTGGAAGGCAGAACAAGGGGAAACCCCCACATTATGAATAGTGGTAGAATTAAATTGAAACTCATTTGGAAACCCAGTAACTTAGTCTTTTTTTTTTGGACAGGAAAATATTTTTTGAGTGCTATCATATTTATGAATGGAAAAGCGTCCTCAGTTACTTCCTTTAAAGAGAATGTTGGCACAGTCAGCATGTCCCCTCCCATAGTAAAGCCCCAGGGAGACCCCTAATAGGTAGAAAACTCTCTGTGAGGTTCCTTTTGCGGGATTTCTCCCTGATGATTCCATCTAGGGGGTGGAAGTTGCCCTTCCTGAAGCCCTACAGATCCCTTGAGATCTATGTGGATCTCAGGGGATCTGAAAAGGCCAAGGCCATCTGCACAAAGGCCTTGTGCGCCTATGGAGTTCTGGCATTTCCAGCCCCCTAGCAGTGTAGCTCAAATGGAGCTGTGCAATCAGACACATCTGCTGGCCATGGCTGTCCCTGCAACCCCCCCATAAAGGGGTATGTCCTCCACAGATGATGTTTCCCAGGAAAGGGAATGTAGCTCCAGTCTGTATTAACTTTCCTGGCAAATGTCCATGGTTTCAGTGGGAGACAATGTGTTATTCCCCTGGCCATGACCCTATGTAACGGCACTACCCAGTCTCCGTGCCTACTCTTGTGAAGGTCCCTACCCTATGGAGAGTTCTGTGTGGGGTCTTGGGACAGGGAACCACTAACCTCCGTCTACATGATGTGACACCAAGTTGTAGCCCCCAGAAATAGGGGGTTGCAGTGGAACTAAAATTAAACTAATAATATTTCACCACAATAATAAAGTGTTCGTCACAGGATCCAATTTTTGGTATCAATACTTTTACACCAAGACAGGAAAAATATTTTTTTAAACTTCTCCTAAATTCAGCCAGGAATTTTGCATTCAAGGGATTAAGCACTGTGGGCTGTCTCCTTAGCTGATGTAAATCAGTGTAGCTCTATTTTCTTCAA